GATTGTAACAGCACGGAAAAGAATGAAAACCCTGTTAAAACGGCATTTGAAGACAAATGGATGTAATTCCAATGTTGCCATCAGCTAAGCGCATTCACATTCCCGAGTTAAGAAACGTTATCACAATGGCGTTCTATTACAATGTAACAACTGCATGAAATACTAATTTCCGGACGGAATGACCATTCACCATAATACAGCTTACACAATTCATTTTTTCAGGTACCCTGCGGTCGTTGAAGAAGTGAAATCGCCGTTTGAAGATCCAAATGAAGTCGTTAATTTCAAGAGAGCAAAACGTCTCAATTTCGAAGTCACCGATGAGGTAGAGCATATGACTTACTTTCAGAATTCAACATTGTTGGATCATTCTATTGAATTGATTACAGATTACAACTGAAAAGTTTATAGCAATAACCTGCGTAAATGTTTTGTCAGTGGCCAATAGTTTCATTGAGTTGTTGAAAAGCTGAACTGTTGTTACAATTATCGGTTGTTGTTCCAATTGAAATACGCGCCCCATGACTATCAGATGGTGTTTTTTCGAGGTGACGTTTTCACTGAACGGTTATTACTTTGAGATGGAAGCAGAAATCGAGCGCTGCTATAACGAATATCAACTGAAAATAAGCGATGTAGATATCGCTGCCACGATATTCCGAACATTCGGTAAAGGGATCATTAAGAAAGGCCAGATCTCGCCGGATGGATTCGTTCAAATGGCTATTCAGTTAGCAAACTTCAAGGTTGGCACAAGCCTGCATATACATATCTTGCATATATTCTTTCTTCGCAATTTCGACGAAAAAATAATTTTAGGATCAGAAAAAATTCTCGCTCACCTACGAATCAGCATCGGCTCGCTTTTATGCAAACTCTCGAACTGAAACCCTTCGCACAGTCAGCAAGGATTCATGCGCCTTTGTCAACGCAATGATGGATCCTAATTGCACTGTAGGTTGCCTCTTAAATATTACATTTCCAGTCATTCGCCTAAATTTCCTCTGCACTTATGAAGAAGAAAACATCCTATCTTACATTGTGAACCTAGGTGAGGTGTACCGTTCTCTGAGTAGAGCAAAGGTTGAATTACTGAACAAATTGAGCGAAGTTTTCGGTATCATCTTCGGAACTGCTCACGATCAGACCAGTCATGTTCACGAAATTCAGTGATTCATTTCAGTTGTGTTGCCTTCAACTAATTGGTAATTTTTCGAACATAAAGAAACCCACCATGTGATTTTACAAAAATGCACTGCTTTCTGCTTGAAGAGTTTATTCACTGATAGCATCAGTATGCAAATGCAAGCAAGCAAAACTGCAGAACGACGAGCGTTATCGTCTTCTGCAAGTGGCGTGTGAGCAGCATGTTCAACGAAATCGCGAGTGCATGCTCGGGCGTGGTGTTGATCGACATTTGTTCGTGCTGTACATTCTCAGTAAAGCCATCTC